ACAAACCCCTAACCCTTCTCTTTTTCATTTATGTGCTCCTGATAGTTCTTATGGGTCTCATATTAGGTTTGGCAAGGAAATAAGGTTAGGGTGTAGGTAGTAAGCCTAAAAGTCTAGAATTACATAGGGAAAGATTTGGGGAGTTATAGGGTTTGTATAGGGTTTGATGTTGGGGTGTTTTGTATTGGTTGATGTTGTTTACAGGCTTGACTTGGTGTTTGGTATGGTGTTTCTGAGATCTTTTGTATAGTATAGTATTTTCTTGTAAACAAGATATGTTATAGGCTTGTTTAAGAGATTTTGGTTCAAACATCTTAACTAAATCCATTATCTATGTCTCTAGCCTACCTAAAAAGAAAATCAAGGCATACTTTTCATCTATCTCTACGTGATTCCATAGTATATCAAATTTCTTAATATAAGTTTCTGGGTTGTCTCCTTGTTTCAAATCCTTTAGCTCTTTTAAAAGATCCTTTTGACCACCAAACCTTTCATAGCTTCTACATATTCATTCCATGTCATCACTCTACAACCACTACTTCACAAGAAGTTTTGATGCCAATAAAGTGTCATACCATCCAAATAGTAAAATCCTAGCTTATGTTTTTATGGATCCTGAATTTCATACATCTTAAACTATTGGTTGTATTTATATAACCATTTGTGAATGTCTTCCCTTTTAAAAGATGAAAAGTCACTTTTAGATTTATGGAATTTGTAATGCCATCCATAATGTCAATCACTCTTCATGGTCAGCCCTTCCTAAGATATGTGTAGTTATTATTGGTTATTACTTAACTCCCTTATAGATACCTGCAGTTTTTGCAACAAGGTATTCTGTTGATGGGAAAGGCTAGTGATTAACTCTAGCCTCATTAGTCTTGTGTTGCTAGTTGACTGTTATTGCCCTTGCTGTTCCAATAACCTCGTCATCTTATCATTCCACTGTGCCTACTCCTTGTTAGAGGTTTCAATCATATCTTCTAGTTTCTTTAGATTTTGAGACCTGATGTTAGGAATCATTATTTTGGTTTAAAGATACGAAGCTTTGATGCCACCTGAAGCAGGTATAAGATCATTATCTATAGGTAACAACTCGATTAAGAATCTTTCAATCTGTATTAAACCTAATGGAGTGATTTCTCTAGTATTTGATTTACTAAGTAGAAGAAGAAATTAGAAAAGAGGGGTTGATTAAGGTAAGAGAGAAAAAAAGAGAAAGAAATCTCTATATAGAAGGAATTAACAATTGTGGTCATTCAATTTTACATGTCATTTTATTGCAACTGCCAGTAAATAAAGGCAAAGATGAAGATGGTGCTAGCTTTGACAACCTCCTTAATAATGAGAATTACAATTTATTGAAATGGTGTGTTTAAATAAAAAGAAGATGATAGCTTCACATGATTCATTTTGAAAGTAACAATCATTTCTTCTTTTTGTTCGTCTCACTCCTTTAATAAATTCCTTGTAACTGAATTTACCTGTAATAGAGTCCTTGAGGGATCAACTTAACATGAGATGTGAAAAATACATGAAAACCAAAATAAAAGGAAGGGGACAAAACCAAAGTAAGATAGATTTGTGGATATTGTTTTCTAAAAATACATTAAAAATTCATGAAATTTTGAGTAGCTATTTGAAAATGAGCCTTAAAACTAAGGTAATATGAATAATTTTATAAAAACTTTGAGTGGGTCATAGCCTGTCTAAACTAGTTTGTTTTAGGTTTTTGAAAAAAAATAATTTTATTTTTATTTTTTTGTTTTAAATTATTGTTTTAATATTTTCAAATTATTTTAATGTATTAATATCAAAAATAATTTTTTTTAAAAAAAATATTATTTTAACCTATTTCTATATAACAAAATATTTATAAAATAATTATTACTATACTCTTAAATATTGTCTGAGACTTTATTTGGGGATAAGGTTACGGTGCAACATCAACCTATATAGGAAAACCACAACTTCAATTCAAAACAAGATATGAATCATGATTTCAACAGGTATCCGGCATTAAGCTAGCATCACTGTTTATGTTTTTTCCACGAAATTCCTTGTAGATGTTGGGAATTGCCAGCTGGTCATTAATTAATTTTGAAGTATTAACCTAAACCATAAGGTTAAAAAACAAAATTCCTTGAAGGACACCTATCAACGAACATCAAGTAAACAAAAGCCATTTTGTTGTTAATTTGTTTTGATTGTACGTGCATGGGTGAAAAATGGAATAACGGAAATGGTGTCGCCGGCTGAGATTGTGACCCTACGGACCCGGAACAAATAGTGTATATGATCTGCATTAACTCGCTTTCCGTCTTTCTTTCTTGCTATGATACTGTTAATTCTTTTCCGATTAATTTTAACTGATCGGTGCATCCAAAATCAATTTAGATGGAAAGAAAAGGATGTGCGATTTTGTAGTGTTCCCCTCGGCGAAATAGATTAATGTTTTGGAATGTTGTTCTGATGTGAAGTCACACGAAATTGGGGAAACCAAAGTTGGAAAATGGATCTATAGCGAGAATCAATAAAATATATCATAGTAATATGGTAAGTGATAGAGAACATTTATGTTGCCGGCTTTTTTCCTTATTTAATCTTTTTTTCTGGGTCATGGGAGGGCCAAAATCCATGAAATCAATGAAAAGGGTGGTGCTAGGGGATGATGTTAGACGCCTCAAAGTAATAAAAATTCTGATTTTTTTCCATGATACACCAATTTAAGTATGAATAAGTGATCTCTATCATCTAAAGCTCAAATGAAATAAACTTTTTTTTTTTTATTTATGTGGGGTGTCTGGGCTAGTTTATGCGTATCATGACTAATCTACTTTTTTTTATTTTATTTACGTGGGGTGTCTGGGCTAGTTTATGTGTATCATGACTAATCTCCATAGCTCATTGAACATCCTGCAAGCCCAGTGAACAGGTAAGGCACCGCGGAGGTGACAGGTGTGCGCGGTAAGGCTCGAACCCAAGTGCGGAGGAAGGGGACAAGCCCCTCCCACTGCTGGGCTAAAACCTCATGTGCAAACTTGATTGGAAATAAACTGGATTGAAGAATACAATAATGATTAATTAAACTGACATTGTGTTACTTTACACATGATTTATTTGAGAATCATTCAGAGGGAAAGGTGGCAGAAGCAGAGATGGTTTTGTTCATGGGCAAACTAATGGGCTATCAAAGTCCAAACCAAACAGTACATTGACAAATATATTTTCCATGTTATTCCATAAATATCATAAAATTCTTCGATAGAAGGAAGGAAGGAAGGAAAAGCAATGTCTACTATATTTTTCTTGTTTTCTTCAATAGCAAGATTTGGGTTTTGCATTACTAGAATCTTCCCGTTCCATTTGTATCGAATCTCCTTTAACAATTCTTTTTATATAAAATAATCAAAGAAATTTAAATCATATTTAAAACTTAAAACTAATCCTTATGATATGCACGCGTCATGACATTGATGGAGACCTCCTCCATTAACAACTTATATTCATTAAATATATACAATAGGCAGAAAAACATCAAAAATACAAGAAATAAGACATTATACGAAGACAATATAAATACGGGAATGCTCCTCCGACTTTTGGCACCCATGTATCTAAAACTGAACCGGAGAGATACATAGCACGATGATAGAGTGCAATATTATTAACGTAGAGCTCAGAGCCAGAGGGAGTGACACAGAGAGAAACAGGGTCCTACTCCCACCTGCAAGAGGACGCGTAAAGCGGAAGATTTTTAGAAGTCTCTTTCATGGCCTTAAAGTTGCAGCAAGAGAGATAAGTCGTCGTCTTGTTTGGAAATATTTTGGATAGGGTTCTTGCTAGTCGTTATGAATCTGTGATGGCAGCATGACGCATAACAGAGCCTCTAAGTTCCTTGCAAAACAAGTTTGGTTTTGGCTTGGTGACATATGCCTTAGAATTGTCCAGCTCCATATTACCATAAAAAGGATTTAGCAAGCTTCTATTCTCCTCTCCACCTATTCATCAATCCTTGTTGTTTATGGAATTGTATATCCCTATATACAGCCCTTTCGAATTACCTAAAGTACATTCCTCCATGTTTGCGTGAGCCCCTGCCCTTGGTGTTCATATATAAATATAATTAGTTTAATTTGCCTTTTATCTTATGGTTCGCGTGTATGCTTAATTAATTTATTGCCCATATTTTGAATCAAGAGAAACAACTTCAAAGTAAGAGATAAGTGATGGAAATTAGAAGTAGTAGGGAGCAAAAAAATTAAAAAAACTAATTAAATCAATAAAATAATAAAAAAATCGAACTGTGAAAAAAACCAATTAAAATTTTAAAAAATCAACTGATTTGATTTGATTTTATAAGTTTAAAATTGAAAAAACAGACTTCAAATAAGAGAAAAACTGACTAAAATTAGAAAAAAATTAAGTCAAATTGATTTAAATTAGTTTTTTTTTAAATAACTAAATCAAACTAATCTAATTAAAATTTTAAAAAATTAACTGATTCGATTTGATTTTATAAGTTTAAAACTAAAAAAACAAACTTCAAATAGGAGAAAAACTAGAAAAAAATTAAGTCAAACTGATTTAAATTAGTTTTTTTTAAATAACTAAATCAAACTAATTAATTTAAATTAGTTATATTTTTTTTATAAAAACTAAACCAAACCGAAAGAAAGTATATCAAAAGTTTTACGAAACCTCGTTGCTGGTATCAGACCATGCATGTTTTGGATGAATACGTGGTACTAAAATCGATTTTGTTCGTGGGGCTTGAGAAGTGCACTTACCAAATGCACGAGACCATACTACAAGACCGATCGACATCTTCCAATATGAGAATCGCATCCAAGCTTCTCTTGCAGCCTTAAAATCAGACACATCATCCGTACCAAATAATAATCACAAAACAGTGTTTTAAACTGTTTATGAAGTTAGAGTGTGAAAGAGGCAGGAAGGTTCCTACTAAAAGCTAGCATTTAACGGGTTGCATATTGCCTCCCAAGGCTGTGAAGAACACTGAATAGCTCATGCAACCTCTTCCTCTCCCTCCCTCCCTCCCAAAATAATGGATAAAAGGATCATAATAAATGATATCGTGGGATTACAAAATCTATCCCAAAGAGCAGTAGTTGCCATGAGAAGGAATGACAAGAAGAGTATCCACTTGCCGCCGGTCAGAGGAAGGATTAAACCCAAGATTTTTAGCCTTGTTTACAAAAAACTGAAGCTTGCTGGCCATAATGCCTCCACCTTATCTTCTGATCAAGACCTGCAGCCAGAGTTAGCCATGCCTCTTTCATTTCCGTAATGTTTCATTTTTCTTGTCTTAAGAATATTGATATTTATTGTTTCTTCCTCGGTGAAATTATGATGTAAAAACGAAGGGTTTTATGATCAATTTCAGTATGTAGTGGATGAATGATTAATTGAGAGAAGGATCGAGTCCATTACTTTAATTAATTTCTTCCTTTAAAACATTAACTTGATGAATCTCTGAGTTTCTTACTACTTCAAGAAACGAAGCCCCATCTAATTGCATAAATAACTGAAGCTCACGCGTTTATGCTTATGTTTGAGCATGTATCATGAAGGGAGGTCGCCTAGATTTCTTACTTCTCCAAAAATCTTTTCTTTCTGCTGCTGGTATAATAGTGGTATGATTCTACATTCCATCAAAGAAATCTATATACAGACCTTCCCAGCTGATTTCTTTTTCCTTTTCATGCATGAGCAAAGGAAGATTTATTGATCTGGGTGATAATGAACCAAGAAAGTACCCTTCATCATCATGGACGAAAACCCTCCTAATTAATCAACACCAACCTACATGCCAAAGTGAGAAAAATAACATAACAAAGCCTGAAATTTGTCCTTCAATTTGTAATAATATTTCTGTGGATGAATTTAATTAACGCAAGTCTCGATCGATATATATGACCATGAACTAGAGAAAAAGATTGATGTGTTTATATATAAATGAAGGAAAACTATAAAGAAAATAAGTTAATTAAAATATATATATGATCTTATATAGCTATGTTGAATTATTAATTTGATCAGCAGCTAGTCCTTGATTGCTTAATTAATTGTTTTAATTTGGATATTGCACTCATATAATCCCATAAATGTATTTGACATAGATCTACAAATATGTGCCCGTATATGTATATTTTAAATATAAGGTTTCTTGCCAATCTACGTTGTACCTTTTGCCCTTGCAGGTTAAGTTGGAACTATCATAACAGTTCTCTTTCGATCAGAGAGTTGGTCAAGAAGCACGACATATTCATGAACAAAGAGTTCAGAGAGACACCGGGAAAGGGAAAAGGCGCCGGCAGTGTTTTCGTATGATATGTGTGTCCATGTAAGAAATGATAGCAATACTTTCCAATCCAATCTACAGGTTTGCTTTGTTATGTACACAAGAATAATATACATTATATTTTCCAAGTCTTATTTGCTTTGTTATGTACACAAGAATAATATACATTATATTTTTCAAGTCTTATTTAATAATTTAAATATTTAAATTAAGATTATTTGATAAAATATCAGAGTTTTAATAATGAAATAAATATAATTAATAGCACAAAATTAAAAATGGCCCATACGAATTTCAAACTGAAATTTTTTTTACCTGAAGATGAAAAAGTATATTAAAGAATGATATAAATTATATCTTAAAGTCTCATCTAATAACTTAAAATTTTATGTTGAGATGATTCAACGTATAATTAATAGCACAAGGTAGTAGATCTATACAAGTTTCAAATCCAAATAACTTTCACTTAAGAGAGTGTGTTAGATAATAGTATAAATTATATCTTAAAGTCTCACCTACTAGTTTTGAGAGAGTGTGTTAGATAATAGTATAAATTATATCTTAAAGTCTCACCTAATAGTTTAAGTCTGTTTAGAAAATAATCAAGATAAATGTCTAAATAAAATATAATTAATAGCACAAAGTAGTTTTCATGTACAAGTTTCAAGCTTAAAAAACTTTTACTTAAGAAAAGTGTTAAAAAATAATATAAATTATATCTTAAAATCTCACCTAACAACTTAAGTTTTTAGATTAAAATGATCATTTGATATCACTTGAACCTAATTTGGTGCAACTATTAAGAAAATAATTAAGATAAATATTTTTTATTTTCTAATTGATAAAAGGAGAGAAATCAAGGAATTGAATAAATCAAGACAGTCAAGAAATTATTTTTATCATCTAATAAAAAAAGATGATCAAGTATTTCACATAATTTTGTTTATTTTATTTCCTTATATGTCTTGTTGCATGATTATATAAACTTTAAACGAGTTGAATGTAAAACATATAATTTATTTATCGAATAATTTTTTTTTATTTTAAATTTATACATGCTATCAGAAGAATCTTGATTAATAGTTACAAGTTTGAATCTCATTACTCAATTCTAATTCACTTAAGAAATATATGTAAGAGGATAATATAAATTATATATTGAATCCTTACCTAATAACTTAAGTTTTTATATTAAAATGGTTATTTAACTATTAAATATTTTATTTACTATCTTTCTCAATGGTATATCAATTCATCTTTCTTTAAATATTTATTGTTCAAATAGGTCAAACTCTAATAGATAATGCTATGAAGACATCATCCTGCCTTTTATGATTTTTTTTAGTATTTACTCCTTTTTTATTGTTATATCTAATTAATAAACATGAATGCTTGACTTGGAATTTGAGCATATGATAAATTCAACCTAATTATTAATCAATTAAGATCATTTATTGATAATGAACAGTTTTATTAATAGATGAGGTGGCTATAAAAATAATCTTAATTCCTGTCAAATTCATAAAACTTAAAAAGTACAGAAGATGTCTTAAAGAAATAATCAACATAAGTATACTTGATCAAATATTTTATATAATTTTTTTATTCTATTTCTTTATATAATTATTATATAATTATATAACTCTATATGAATTTAATGTAAAATATATGAATAATTTATCGAACAATAACAATTTTTCCTATTCTAATTTTTACAGCAGCGAGGTTACTCTCTTGTACCCCTGTCCTATATTGTTAAGTTGATGAATGTACCCAAGTAAATTTTGTTAAAGTAAGGGAGAGGCTAGCTTGTTTTGGTGACACGCGTTTTCATTGTTTTGGTATGCAAATATTTTTGGGTAGAAGAAGCATCAATTTAATTAATTTAATTTTTTTTCTCGTACTTTTGAATGGTTTTGATAGGTAAAACACTCTAGTAAAAGCATATATCGAATGCATGACCAAACACAAAACGAGAAACCTGTTGAGAAAAGGAAACATAAATGCTGGAGAGGCTCAAGGCTTATTGGTGGCTTGCATAGCTTCAGTTCTATTGTCTGAATTCTACTGCCTATTAGGAAAGTTAACGGGCGATTTATATGGATAAGCAATAATGAAAAGCTCGGTGATTCTATCTTATGAAAAATCTTCAACAATCAACTAATTATTAGTATACAGTGTATGATTACAGTTCAAAACCCAAAAAAAAAGAAAAGTCATGAACACCAGAATAAGAGACAGACAGAACGAAAAGCAGCCAAGCAGTGTCAGAATGGGGCGCTGCACTGCTTGCTGACTTCTGGGTCATTTGTGCGAGGGATAAAAGGCCAGGAGCATGGCTCTCGAAATACTGAAAGAACGCTGTTGCCTACGGCTCCAGTCAACACAACCACCGCACAGGACCACCCGCCGCTCCGGCGGATGGATTTCAACAATGCTGTAAACGGAAAACCGCCGAGTGCTAATATTACGTGAGAAGTATACGGGCTAAAACTCAGAATAGAAGAGAAAGGGAAATATTACATGGGGGTAATTTTTAAAAAATAATAATAATAATTAAAAAAAAAAAAACACAAGCTGCTGAGATGTGAGCGCAACAATATTATACAACCACATTCTAAATATTTATGTACTGAAATCAATTCAATTAGTAGTTCATGATCTCCTTTGGACATAAGCCTCTGCTAGACAGCATAGATGACATAACCCAACGTTTAAACCGACTTTTATTCAGTAACAGGCAATCAATCCCATGGTCTGATGCAAAACCTGATAACCTACAAGGAATAAGAAGCTGTACCAAAACGGATGAACTACACCAACTACTCAGTCCCTCAAAAAGACCTGTTGTTGGGTTTGGAAGGTGACGATGACTTGGATCTTGCAAAATCAACCAGATCTTTGAAGAGTGCATCTTCTTTTCTTGCTTGTTTGGGAGGAGTGGACGGATTAAGGGAAAGACTTTGGGTTTGACCAACTAAGCTGTCATAAGAAGAACCAGAGCCGCTGCTTGAATTAGAAGCACTGCCTGGTACATTGTGATGCTGGCCAAAGAACTGCTGTCTTTGATTATACCTGGAAGGCGGTGGTGGAAGAAATCCAGGAGACTGCACGTCCCAAGGTGCTGGGGGCAGCCGATCACCAGATTGGCTTAATGGAGCTGGTTCGTCATACATGGGCAGTCCAGTTAGCACAGGAGAGGAGTTCATGGCATTGGAGGGAGGGGAAGAGGCTGGTAGTGTTGGAGAATATGGTGGTGAAGAGCCAACATTTGGGACTTTCAAGGATGTGGGTTCTGATGTTTGGGGGGGTCCTTCTGACTTGTACAAATCACCACTGAGATAATCAATCATGCCTGAGTCCGCGCTAACTGACTTCTTTGATGAGGGAGGAGGAGGAATAAATGGGCTAACTCGTCCTGGTTGAGTCCTAACACTGACTGGTTTCCGGTTTAGTCCTTGTGAATTATCTCTTGATGGCCTGTGATATCATGATTAAACCTAGTGAGAATGGGTCTTTTCCCTCCTTTCTTTTGAAAGTACTATGTTTTAAGATCAGAAAACTGATGGCCCAATTATATGATTTATGCCAACTATCCCCAAATAAAGTTCCCAACCAAAAAGAGGAAGATCAAATACATCGCGAAACAACATGATAGTCAGTTTTCCAAAGCTTTTTAATTGCAGAATAAAGCAAGGCAGTGGCATATATGAGAAGAAAAAAGGTTCGAGGAGTTGGCATTCCCATATGAAAAGGTGCATCCCCACAACTTTTTGTTTCACTAGAACATTCCCTCGCTGAAATGTTTTGACCATCCAATAGTGAGGACTTGCACCTTAAATTTGCTAATGCATGCTCCATGGGTAAATCCAGTAAGAATCCCCCGTCACACCCCACAGAACAATGAGCATAACAGAAGTGAACACAGTAAATGCAAGGGAGAGAGGGGAAAACTATTGCAGAAGTCTTTAGTATGGTTACCTGTGTGCCAGCTGGGAAAAATCATCTTCTAACTCATCATCCTCATTGTTAATATTAGCAAGAGGCACAAGTGATGTTTCCATTTCCCTTTCTCCCACAATAGGACTTCCTTTCGCAATATCATCATGCTGACGAAGTACACGCTGCAGGTTATCATTCAATGCTAATCCCTGACATAGAAGCTCCTCATCTCTGAAAGAGCACTATATTTGTCAGATATGTCAATAGCAGAAATTGGAAAAATATATGAGAGGTCTAATTCTTACACTGTATTGTTAACAAGAAGCCTGACACGCTTTTGGTAGGAACGGCATTGGTCAACAAGGTCAACAATCACTTCTTGCTTAACACCCTGCCATGGAATCCAATAATATAAGTGCATTGCACAGATTACATTTTCTTCTTGAATGCTATCCAGACAAGAAGTTGCAGCCTTGATATGTGCAAGTTCTGCCTCAAACAGAGAACTGAACAGGACAAGACTTCCTATGTCTATTGTTTGATTATTTACTTTTATTTGATTGATCAGCATTTAATTTAATTTTATTATTTTAAAAATTTGGATTTATCCTATTAGTTTAGTTGTCAAAAGTAACTCTTGTTAACAATGTAGTTTTGTGTCCTCACCTACTTATAAATCCCCATCCACATTTGTTTTGGGATTTTATTAGTGTTTTATGTGTTGCATACTCCATTTGATTGCAGCTTTGAAAGTTAAATTAAAACCATGCATGGACACTCATATTTCAACATTTGGTCAAATCAACCCTCTATTTTATGTATGGTCAAGATAAATAACTTTCAATTTACAACGAATTAAGCCTCATCCAACTCGTGCCTATTAGATGACAGCCACATGTTGCTATGTGCAAACATATAAATCAGCAAAGGGTTACAGTCATTGATAAATTGGAGGGAAAGGGTTTTGATTTTACCAAATTTCTATACCATGGGGACCTTGAATTATTCTTATACTTTGCTGTTGCTCATTGAGTCTTGAAAGTGTGTTCTTCCTATGTTGATAATTATATAGTTTTCTTTTCTTTTCTTTTCTTTTCTTTTTTCCGTCCCCTTTCTTTCAATCCAGAACTCCATATATAGTAGTGAGCAATAAGGTCTAATATATCTATCCATGAAGAGCTGACATGGCACAGAGATCCCGCTTATGATATGAATCAGGGAAATTTTCACAAGCACATAACTGCTGATCTTAGCCACATGCTTTGATAGAACAATGCAAGAAAATTTCCACGGGAAAAAAACCAAATTTTACCTCAGGGTTCTTACGATCCAAGGCACTAAGGATTTCCATTAACACATCTGCTATTCCATGAGCACTTTGAATCTCAAGCAAGCTGCAAAATAAACAAATTTCTAATGTAAAAAGATCTAGCGGTAATCAATCATTAATCCCCAGCACAAGAAAGACCAGTTAGAACAATGAAAGATAGAAAAGCAAAACGCTGATGACAAAATAAGACTTTTATTATTAGTACTGAATTGCATAATCAGAAGCACCCTAATACAAAGCATTTTTAATTAGTTCTTTTATGATTACTGCCACTTGTATCTATGGCTGATGTATTGGTCATGCAAGCACACTTACAATCTATTCTAGCTACATACAAGATTGATTACAAAGTAAATTCCAACTGAGTTATAGTATTTTCATTTAAAACTAGGAATACATGAACAAGCTAGAAAGGTAGATTGGGAAAGAATATGATAGCTGATGCAGTACTTAATCAACATCATGCAAGAATACTAATGTACTTCGCACACCTATTTATGGAACAAATAAATGGAAAACATAAGTACCTCTTTGTAGTATACCTATTTAACCCTAAGCTGGGGAATGAATTGAACAAACAAAAGCCAGAGCAGTCCAAGTATTACCTGAGGCCAGAAGCATCAGCCTGCAGAGAGGCTTTAATAGCAGCATCTTCATATGCTGAAGGTGCATCAGCTATAGGCTGTGTTTGGGGAGGAGTAAAGAATGGTACACTGTTCTCTGCTTGTGGCGGAAATTCAACTCCTGAAGCCTGTCAGTTATCCAACATTTAATCTGATGACATAGGGCTTCATGAACACATAATGAAAGAAAAGATCAATAATGTGATTTCTGATATTAAAGGAGCCACCTAAAGCTGATCAGCTTCAAAAGGAATAGAGTTTAAAATCGATGGCAAATCTCACACACTGTGACTTATGGAATTACAAGTAACAATAATGAAAATTACTCAGGCATTGACACATAATGGAAATTGAGAATGATCCTTTAACTTTTCCAGTCAATAGACTGTAAGTTATAACCATCACTCTAAAATCATCAACTGACATGTATTGATCTAAGAAGGAAACATGAACCAACAGGTACAAGACTCATGAAATGCCATGTACAACAATTCTCAGTAGAACTGCTGGCTCCAAAATAAAAGGAAATTGATATGAACGAAAATAGGTGGAGAAACCAATTACCCTTAGTTCATTATATGCAGCATAATATTGAGGATACCTTCCTCTTTGCCCCCCAAAAGCTTCTTGCCATGTATCTATCAGAATAAGTATCTTTTCTCGCACATTCAAATCTGGCTGCTCAATTTCACAAGAAGAAAAATTGAGATAGGGAACAGGAGAAGAGAGATTCAAAGCACTGGAAAAAATAGAATGCAGTACCTTCTTTTTTACTATTTTAACCATATCATGTAAGATATCACGTTCAATGATTTGCTGAAACACACTGTCACCACAATTTTTGCTGAGAGTCTCCAATGCCTGTATCATTCATCATATAAAGAGAGGCCCAAAGACATTCAGTTCAAAATCCATGCACAACAACAATTTCAGAAATGTTCAACATACCTGAACAAAATTTAAAGAAAGATGGAGCAATTATGTATAACAATTGTAATGTTTACCGCTTGTGATATAAAATTATAAAAAGCACGAGCCAAGTCTAGAAAGTTTGAAAATACTAACAAATAGAGCTAGGAGTTGGGTTTTAGGATTTTTGCTGCCTAGTCGCTTCTTGAGTATTTTCAGGGCATCCTTTGCTTGCCTGCAAGACAAATCCAATTCAGAGAAAAATCAAGATCAGCATAATTTAAGAGCAGAAATCAAAATGAACAGACTTAAGGATAAATTTCAGTGCTCTGACCAACCCCACGACACACACTACCTAAAAATTCTATTTAAATGTAGTACTGAACAATACCAACAATAGTACATGTTCGAAATGCAAAATAAGCACTACTCAAAGCAAACAGTTTGCACACGAACTTTACCAAAACGAGAAATTAGAAAAGAAAAGAAAAGAAAATCGTATATACCTAGGATCCATGTTGATGATATCACATAGCTCAATGTTTACAGCCCAGTCTGGGCCAATCAACATATCACTGGTTGCCCTCTCCGCACAAGCCGCAGCAGTATTAGCCATGATTATAGAGAATCACAAGTTGGTTCCTTAGTTTAAGCTCGGTATCCCTTATTATCCTACAAAGCAAAATAATCAGCCACGTGATCAATTGCAAAATCCAATCTTGAAACTGTACAAAATTGAAGTGATACAAATGACTTGGAACATGGATAAACTCATGATCAAATATGAAAAAGCAAATTATCACCAATAGAGCAGCTAAGACTTGATTCTCCATCAAAACCCATTAAAATTCGAAGAGAATACAAAAAATCTCACAGCAACTTCAACACGATCATATTCATAGTGTATAAAAATCATTAAACAAAAACAAATTCGACCCAAATGGATTAAAGCAAAAGGAACCAACAAGAACTGAATTGTATACAGGTGTATTAAACCCCACATATCAAAGTCAAAACCCAACAAGAGAACAGTAAGAATCATTAAAAACAAGCCCTGATTATTCAAATTTAAGACAATAAAAGAGAAAATGCGAAAACCCTACCTAATAAAAAGCAAGAAAAACAAAAAAGACAAGATGGCAGAAACAGAAGAGAAGCTATAGGGAGGAGGGTGAAGATCTTGAAGCGTACCTGTCAAAGGACAGAGTGGTAGAGAGAGAATAAGAAATGTAAGAAAGGTAGCAATTTTGTGATGGAGTGTAAGAGAGAAATGAAGTTTTGTGAGGGAGAGGAGAGATTGTTTTGTTTGTGTTGGTGGGGTATGGTTCTAACCATTGCTTCCCTTAAGTGGGTCAGCCAGCCTTTTGCCTTTGGGATCAACTTTTGGTTTCCCATTGAGCCGTATTTTTTCCTACATTTCTAGAAGAAGAAGAAGAAAAAAAGCATGGTCAAATATTAAAATGATAGTATTTTAACGAATATATTATTATTATTACTATTAAAAAAAGTACCATTAAGATTTGGACGATATGTTCTTTTAGTAGATAAAAGGGGATTAACCCTTGAAAAAAAAAATTACAAGCAATATTTTGTTATGGGATTTGATTGAAAGTGTTGTGAAAATTATTTTTTAAAATATTTTTTTATTTTTTAAATTTTATTTTTGATACTAGAACATCAAAATAATATAAAAAAATAAAGTTAAAAGAACACCAAAATAATATAAAAAAATAAAGTTAAAAAATTTCAAAATATAGTTAAATTGCAATGACAAAGTGGACTTATATTTTAAAATAATAAAATAAAAATTCAATATTTTCATGAAAAAAAAGTCATAATAATACACTTTGAGAATAAAAGATAGACTATGAATTTTTATTTTCTGATAACCATGAAGCGTTCATAGACTATGATAGATGAATCTTGCACTATATTGGATGATTTGGGAGTTTAGCAAAGAAAGTTATTTTTACAATTTTGGTCTTTTAAAAGGTATTTTTAAGCCAATTTTCATGTCAATTAACACTAAATATATTCAAACAGATTTTATTATTATTTTGCTAGTAATTGAAATTGGAAGAAAAGTGATAGATTTGGTAAATGGGAAGCTTTAACGCCTAATTAGCATGCTTTATGTGGGAGGTATAAATAATCTCATGAAAAAAAAAAAAAACAAGAAGTAAATTCCCAGTCATTCAATTTTAACTTTAAGTTATTTTTAAGTTCAGTATGTAAAAATAAACGCGTTTTTATATCTAGGCTATGGCTTTGGACCCCACTAAACGGAGTGTGAATAGAAGGAGCCGGGATATATCGCAAATGAAAAGTCAATGAACCGGTGGTGGGACCTGAGCTCGTCATGCTTGTTGACTGGTTCCTAGCCCCGAGGGGAAGGATAACACAAGCAGGGAGAGAATAGAAGTCCAAAACCGCTGGTCTGGGTCAAATACCGTGCATCATCATCCTTTCTAAATTAAGGTTTGACCATTGTATTTTGTATGCCCATCTGTCATTACTGGATTGGATGTTGTTGGAAAAGAATGGTTCTGTTGCAGTATGATGCTGTCATTTACTTACAGGTCGGCTGTTACATCTGAAAATTGTCTGTGGAAAAAATTAATGCTGTTTTTTTATGTTTGGTGGGAGTTGTTTTGGATTTTAATTTAATTTTATAGGATTTAAAATATAAAATTAAGATACCAAGTATTTATTTTAATAAAAAATATAATTTGTTAGTTTATATGAAAATTAAAGATTAGAGTATGTTTTTATTATTCTATTCTTATTTATCTTTAAAACAATTTTTATTTTCAAGATAATGATAGTTATCTGCTTTCAAATTTAATTCTTAATTAAATTCAAACTTTAAAGAAGATAATGAGTTTGATTAAAACTTTATTTCTACAGGCGATAAGATTCTTGCACTATAAATACAGATTTTAATATATGCATAAATGAAAACGAAGAAACCCTAGAAGAAAAACATTAAAAGAAAAAAAACACATCACTAAAAAAGGAGAAAGAAAATAAAGGAGGGGCGGCGAACCCTATATCAGCTACCGCCCCCTTCAGCTTTTTTTTTGGTACTTTTTCCTTGGCATGGACACAGAACCAGTTTCAGCCATCTCTCTACCATTTTCAACAACTCCTCAGCCTTCATGGACCTGGATAGAGAAGAAGCTTTGCCTTCTTGCCATCCCTTTTTCCCCTTTTTCTAGTCTGGAACTACTATGACCATCCGAACCCTAGCCACGTCTTCTTTGTTATGAAAAAAAACCATTAACCACGGCTCCATCTTCTCTTCTCTATTGCAAAAAAGAGGACACACTTTCATTGTTCTCTTTCCCCCCTCTTTGCCATTTTGGACCAAAAGAGAAAAACATATAAAAAGGGAGGCAACTCTAACATATAGAAACAAAAGACAGGGACAAGCAAAGACAGGAACTAACATAAAAGAAGAGAAATGAAAGAAAAGAAATGAATAAAGGAAACCCAAAAACAACACAGTACATACAAGGAGAGCATAGAAAGAAAACTAAGGGAAGAGAGAGAAAAAAAAAGGAGAAGAAAGCAATTTTAGTAGGTCAGCCCTCCACCACCATCATCTTCATCTGCAAGTTAACACAACCAAAAGATTGATGTCTTCTTCTAAGTTTAGAAATGTCAAAATAATAAATAATCTGAAAAAACTAGGGTCTAACTACAGAGAAGTTAACTGTATAAACTACAAATAAAGAAATGGATAATCACATAAAAGTAGTTTAAGAGAGTTTTGAGATGTGATATTGATGTAAGGATTAAACAAGGATAAATTAATTATCAAGGTGAGAGGATCCACTAATAGCATTTCAAACAAGTATAATATAAATTCTTTTTATTACTCAAATGGAACCATATACAAAAGAGGTTTCAATCGGATTAGAAATTGTTAACATGATTACATTAGTTATCTTATTCAAATAATACTAATATTAGTAAATGTTGTCAGGTGACATGACTAAAAGATTAATGTCTTCTCCCAAGTGCAAGAGTGTCGAAGTAATAAATAACCCAGC